GTGCTGCCACACCAGCCGCGGGACGAGCCAGGGTCCCCGGAGGCAGACAGGGCTGGGAAGGCTGGTCACTCCTGACTATCTGGGCTGGACCTGCTGGGTGGTCTGTGTGCACGCCTGCGGCCTGGGCCTAGGGCTGCGCCCAGACAGGCACCAGACTCCCAGACGGCCCTGAGCCCAGCGTCGCCGCAGCCCACGGCCCAGGCCAGTGCCAGCCTCTGCCCCGCACCCACACCGCACTAGTGCCTGGCCCTCACCTGTGCACGCCTTGCACTTCTGGGCTTGGCTCGGCCGGTTTGCCCCTGCCTTGTTCACTGGGTGGTTTCCACCCTGCTCGCCGACTGTCCCTGGAGCATCCGCTGTGGCCGGGAGGGACCGTGCTGGTTCTGAGCTGCTGCTGTGTGGACAGGCCCGCCATGGCACAGTGCCTGTGTGGTGGCCACCCCTGCCACCACCCGCCCCTCTGGGCAGCAGGCGTCTGCGTGTGCTCAGCCCAGGGCGTGGCGTCTCGGCCCCTCCTGCCCTGAGACCCGCCTCTGTACGACACGCAGGCCGTCTCCATGCATGGTGCGGACACGCTGTCCCCTCTTTCCAAGGCCCCTCACAGGCGGTCAGGCTCCCTGCCCACTCGTCCTTATGCAGGGGGCCTTCCTGGAGGGCACAGTTCTGGAGCGGGTCCGGGCGAGGGCGCTCTGTCTCAGTACGTGGGCCACACCAGCTCCCTGTGGCCACTGTGGCCCTGCCCACCCACTCTGGGTCAGTGCATCCACAACCCCGACCTGGGACAGCACGGACACTCCGTGTCCACTGGCCCTCTCCCCGCTCCTGGTGGGCCTTGCAGGGCCCCAGGCGTGGCGGGCTCCCCACGGTTTCATGGAGTCAGGTCCCCGCCCCCACTCTGGGCGCTGCCTCCTAGCACCTCTCTGCGCCCCCAGGCCCAGGAAGGATGAGCCGCACAGGTGCAGCGCTCACTTCGACGCGGTGGCCCAGATCCGCGGGGAGGCCTTCTTCTTCAAAGGTAACGGGCGGGCTGGCGGGCGGTGCCCATTCTGCCAGCCGCCCCTGCAGCCCCTCTGTGCTCCCAGGCAAGTACTTCTGGCGGCTGACCCGGGACCGGCACCTGCTGTCCCTGCGGCCGGCCCAGGTGCACCGCTTCTGGCGGGGCCTGCCCCTGCACCTGGACGGTGTGGACGCCGTCTATGAGCGCACCAGTGACCACAAGATCGTCTTCTTCAAAGGTGGGTGGGCCTCCGACTGCGTGGACCTTGCATCCACCGGGAGGCTGGCCAGCTGGTTCCTCCGTGCCCTGCGGGTGACAGTGCCACTCCCCACTGTGGTCGGCACTGCGGTATGGACGGTATGGATGGGACCGGGGCCTCCCGGGAGCACAGCAGACGCCTGCTGAGCGAGGAAGTTAGCTGGGGTGTGAGATGGGGTCAGGGGCCCTCAGGGAGGTGTGTGTGGACAAAGCCCAGGTTGGACCAGGGCCCTCCAGGTCCTCCTGGCTGCCTCCTGGCCACCGTGAGAGCGCTCTCGCTCCTGCTCCCCCGTGGCTGTGGCTCTGGGGGAGTCAGAACAGGAGGCTGGAGAGGCCGAAGCCCTGACTGGGGCGAGGCCACACACATGGCTGGAGATGGCAGTGCTGGGCCTCCCTCTGGACACAGAAGCTGACACCAAGGCATGGGGTGTCCCATCCCTGCCTCCACCTCACTGGCCACCTGCTGTGCCCGTGTGTCCCGCCCTTGTCCTTCCCCCGGTACCACCGCATCCCAACCAGTGGCAGCTGCGAAGTCCCGACTTCCACGCTCCTGGTCGCAGCGTGCTGGCTGCCGTCTGACGTGGGAGGGCCCTGCGTCTGAGGACAGACATACCCCCGTGCTGCCACCTCGCCTGGGCCCTGAGGTGACACCACAGCCTCCGGCCACTAGCCAGCTCTGGGGGTGGCCGCTTCTTTCAGGAGGCACAGGCCAAGGGACAAGTGTGGCCCAGGAGGCTGCCCACGGGCTCGTGTGGACATGTTCCCTTTTTAATGGAAATTTTTCTTTTTAATGTGCCACAGGGCACCTGCACTCACCAGAGAGAGCCAGAGACAGAGGGAGAGACGGAGAGAGGAGCCGGGGCCTCCTGTGGGGCGGGGCACTGCACCCCTCTCCATCCCCCTCCTCTGGGGGCTCTGGGCGCGCACGGGCCCTGCGTGTTTCTAAGCTGCCGGGTCCAGACCACAAGGCAGCCGCGTGGGACCCGCTGCCATTCCCCGGGCCAGGCCCGCCGTGATAGGGTGTTCATCTCTGTCTCCCACGATTAAGAGGCACCACTACGGTGACCTCCCCTCGGTCTCCGACAAGTGCCCCTGCAGGTCTCCCGCCGTCCAGGGGCCACCCCCACCCTCGCCTAACTCCAGGGCCCTGCCGGGAGAGCAGAGAGCCCACGGGCATGGGCTGGCCGGCCTGCCGGCAGGAGCGTCATCCTCGCCTGCCCAGCTGCCTGGGCTGTTGGCAGACGTGCCACCTCCTTAGCCCACTTAGCCACCGCCGTCCTGCCCCCTCGAAGCGGTGGGTGGGCATTGTTCCTTGCCCTGGATTCCTTTTTCTTAAAGCCTTCAAGACTGATCATTTAATAATTATTTAATTTAGTTATTTAATTTAATTTGATCAGAGGGGGACAGGGTGTGTGTGTGTGTGTGTGAGAGAGAGAGAGAGAGAGAGAAGGAAAGCCTCTAGGCTCGGGACTTGAACTGCAGTCAGCTATGTGGGAGTCCAGGGCCCTTAACCACCACGCCACCTGCCAGCCCCGCCCTGGGGTCCTTTACACAGTGGCCCCTGAGCACCCGCAGCAGGACGCCACCCACAGTCCCCTGCCTCTAGTCCTCTGGCCTGCTGGACCCAGGGCACTCACGCGTGGGCTTGGTGTGTTTCTGGCTTCCCCCTGCAGAGCGGCCACGCTGGGCTAATTCCATCAGACAGAGCGGGGGTCCGGCGGCCTCCCCCGCGGCCCCTCTCCCGACCCTGCAGTGAGCCAGGACCCTGGCGTGTGGCCTCCCCACCCCTGCTGCCCGGGCCTTCTGCTCACTGTCGTGGGAACATGACAGCGGTCACCATGGAAGCCGCTCCATGCATGGCCCCGCTCGTCCCTGTCACACGAGCAGCGCTGGCCCTGCCCTCAAAGGGGCTCTCCCGGTTCCGCAGCCCGCCTGGCCCAGGCCCTGCTCTTCTGGGTGTCGGGTCCGCCCGCAGGGACCCGGAAGGAGGTGTGCAGAGCCAGCCCAGCCAGCGGCCCTCCCTCTGCACGTGCAATGGCCTTCCGTCCTCTCTATGGCTGGACACTCCAGCCCCTCTGGCCTGCCCGTCCGGCCCTCGGTGGACATGGCGTCTGCTTCTTGGGAGCGACGCTGCTCAGAGCCAGATGTGCGGACGTCTCTGGGACCCTGTTTTGGTTCCGTCAGCTGACACCCAGGAGGGGTGGCATCATCGCCCACAGCGGCCGCCGGTTTCTGTCCCCCCCCCCCACGCGTACAGGGTGCGCCCTCCTCCTCCAGTGGCCGTCCCGAGGGCGTGGTCCGGAGCACGTGTCTGTCACTTCGTGACCTCGACCACACCCCAGGGCCGGCTGGCGCTGGTGGCCCTCGGAGAGGCCTGCGTCATGGAAGGTGGCGTTTTGTTCAGCCTCTGGCCGGCAGCCAGTGAGGCAGGACAGTGACAGGCAGGTCTGCGTGGCGATGGCCATCACAGGGCCAGGGGCTCCGCCGGCACCCACGAGACTCACCTCCCCTGGGCGAGCACAGCCCTCCACCGCCCCTGGCAGGAGGGCTCGGGGAGGACGAGGGCCAGAGCCCTGCCCTCGCCCACGACCGTTTCTCTCGTCCCCAGGAGACAGATACTGGGTGTTCAAGGACAATAACGTGGAGGAGGGCTACCCGCGGCCCATCTCTGACTTCAGCCTCCCGCCGGGCGGTGTGGACGCCGCCTTCTCCTGGGCCCACAATGACAGGACTTATTTCTTTAAAGGCCAGCTGCACTGGCGCTACAACGACCACACGCAGCGCATGGACCCCGGCTACCCCGCCCGGAGCCCCCTGTGGAGGGGCCTCCCCAGCACCTTGGACGATGCCATGCGCTGGTCCGATGGTGAGCGCTGGCCGTCCCCGCCCACCGCGCTCACCCCTCCCGGCTCCAGGGCTTGGAGCCCCCCGTGCCCAGGGCCCTTCCTGGGGCTGCCCCGGTGCCCGTCGCCCCACGCACTGCCCAGGCTCACCCAGGGGCCCTCCCTGGAGCTTCCTGAGTTGGGCCGGGCCCTGTGTCCCCATGTGCCCAGCCCCGCCACACAGGGCTCGCCCCAGCACAGGAAGTGCCCTCTGCGGCTCGCTCGGGACATCCCAGCACTGAGGACAGCCAGGGGGACCGCCCCAGCGTGTGGGTGCCTGAGCGTGCCCGCTCCCTGCTGGCCCTGGCACAGCCCGCCCGCCCCGTAGCTGCTGCAGCCCCGCAGCAGGGCAGGGTGCTCAGCCGCCACCCTCTCCTCTCCCCAGGGGCCTCCTACTTCTTCCGAGGCCGGGAATACTGGAAGGTGCTAGACGGCCAACTGGAGGCGGCACCTGGGTACCCGCAGTCCACGGCCCGGGACTGGCTGGTCTGTGGGGACCTGCAGGCCGACGGCACCGAGGCAGCGGGCGGGGACGGGGCCCAGGCGCAGCCAGGGCAGCATGGCCAGAGCCGCGCGGAGGACGGCTACGAGGTCTGCCCCAGCACCTCCCAGGCCGCCCCGCCCCCAGGGGCCCTGGGACCGCCGCAGGCCCCCACGTGGCTGCTGCTGCCGGGCCTCCTGTGGCTGGGGGGGGGGGGGCGCGGGGGCGGGGGGGTTGTGGCCAGTGACTGGGCTCGAGCGATGGCAGCACAGGGTGCCAGCCCTGACCAGGGCCCTTCGCCCTCCCTGCCCCACCGTGTGCCCCTGCGTCCTCAGTGGGAGGCCCATGGCCACCTCCCTGCGTGCTGCATCTCTGGCCAACACGACCTGCCCTGCTTTGTAAGGCTCGCCTGGCTCCTGACACCCTCCCGCACACCGGGCCCAGAGCACTGTGGGTGGCCGCGTCCTCCGGGTCCAGAGGCCTCACTGTCCCGCCCTCGGGTCTGCGTTCCCAGTGTCTTTGTCCCCTCCCAGATGGAGGGTTGAGGCCCAGAGCAGGGGAAGAACCTGCCGTCCTCGGGCAGCACGGGGTCCTCGCCGTCCGCAGCTGTGGTCGATGCCCACATGCCCGGCGGCTGTCGGGCTGTCCTGGCCTCGGACACCAGGCATGCACCAGGTGCCCCACCAGGAGTGCAGGGGGAGCCGTGGCGAGGTCTCACAGCTTCGCCGCCGCCCCTCTCTCTAGCTGGGCTGGGTGGTGCCCCCACCCAACAGGCCTGGGACGGGTGTGGGTCTCCTGTTGCCCCTTTCTCTGGCCAGCATGTGTCCCTGGGGGTGCCCCCCTGACGAGGGTGCCCCCGCTCCAAAGAGAACCCTTCCTGGGCCGCAGAGGCCCAAAGTACCTGGCACAGCAGGGGCGTAGCCGGGAGGGGGAGCTGGGCAGCGAGCAGGCCGGAGCGGAGGCTGCCTCCCCAGCGCACCGGACGGAGTGGCAGCTGCCCAGGCTGGGCACTTTGCCAGGAGCTGTGCAGAGTCCGCCCTCAGCTTCCCCTTGAGCCGTGACCCCAGCACACGTGCAGGGCACAGGCGGGGGGGCAGTGGCCCCGGGGCTTCCCGGAGCGACTCACGGCTGGGTCTCAGCCACACCTGAGCCCAGAGCCCGGCATGGCCAAAGGAGTCGGCCTCTGGAGGCCTGGGCAGCTCCAGGGGGCTCCGGGGCAGGTCTCTGCAGAGGCTGGAACCCCGGGTGGGGTTGGGACTACTTGCCTAGCCGGCAGGGTGCCGCCGACCTCAGCGTGACCCCGCTGGTGGCAAACACACATGTCCCCGTGCACACAGGGTGGATGCCGCGAGCAAGTCTGTCCGTGACCTCGGGGTCACACCCGACCCGCCAGCTCTCACCTATGGGGGGAAACTGAGGCCCAGTGTTGACTGGGCGGTTGTAACGGCATCCCCCAGGGGACTTACACAGCGACGCCCACCTCTGTAGTTCTGGAGCCTGGAAGCCTGAGAGGGGGCGCCCCAGCGGGGCCGGGTTGTGGAGGGCCATCCTCAGGCCTCACTGCCACTTCTGCGTCCTCGCTCTGCCAGGAGGGCGAGGGCCGCGGCCACTTCTGCCCCAGCAGGGTGCCATCCTGGGGCCCTGAGCCCCCCACCTCACTGCCCCTGTGACCCCCCTCCACACCTCACGTGGGGCAAGTCGGGAGTGAACGCCCGTTCATACAGGCGGGGAGCGTGTGTGCAGGGCCAAGTGTGACCACGGCCACAGAGGGACCGAGGGACCCGCCCTCCGCTCTCCAGGCCCTCTCAAGAGCCCATGAGGGGCCACCCAGGATGCTGAGGGCCGGGCTCCCCGAGTGCACCACGGAGGGGCCGCAGCCACCAGCACGCCAGGCCAGGCCACACCATGTGGCTCCCAGACACGGATCCCCTGCAACATGCTGGCAGGAGGGAAATGGATCCAAGGGGCCAGAGAGTGGCCGGAGACCAGGAGGGGACAGACAGCCGGGTGACTGAGCTCTCCGGGCTGAGCCGAGAGTAGCACCTCCGGGCTGCCCTGTGCCGGCAGAGGGCCCGAGGGCACTGCGTGGACACTCCTGGAGCCTGGGGCGGGGGACAGCCGGCCCCCAACTTACATCGTCTCAGTTTGGATGTGGGCTGAGGCCGGGGGCTTGTGCGGCTGCAGTGGCCTCGTTCCCCCACCCTGGCTATCTCTGTTTCATCTCTGTCTCTGTCTCTCTCCCCTTTGCTGGAGGCCACCGGGCTCAGCCAGGCCACCTCCTGTGGGTTCTAGGCAGCACGGTGGGATGGTGGCAGCTTCCCTCAGCCATGAGACTGGTGGCCCAAAAGGAAGGCAGTGCCATCTGCATGCCCGGCAGCAAACCTGGATACGCTAGGGCTGCTCTAGGTGCTGGGGCCGCAGCCTGCAAGCAACAGGCCAAGCCCTCGTCGCAGAGTCTGTAACACCTCGCGTGCAGGGGGAGGAAGACCCTGAAGGCGGGGTGGCTGCACCTGGGAGAAACATGACAGCCAGGTCGCTGCGTGAGGAGCCCTGGGGCCGTCGGGAGCAGGCCAGAGAAGGCTAGGAGAGGGGACCTGGACCCCGACCCAAAGGACCCCCGTGTGCGTGGAGGCCCTGGGGCAGGAGCTCCTGGTGCTCTGGGGAGCGAGGACTCTGCTTGCTCTGAGGGCCGCGGGCGCCATGGAGGCTGAGCAGAGGGACCTGGCACGGTGCCATTTCTCACAGGGTCCCTCCGGCTGCTAGACTGAGAACAGATGGAAGAGGGGCCGGGGAGCGTGTGCAGAGACCCACTGGGACAGGCCGGGACATTCCGGGGAGGAGGTGGCTTGGGCCGCAGGCACTTGGGACCACTGGTGCCCGATGTCTGGGCCAACAGAGGCGGAGCCAAGGGGGCCAGTGACAGCTGGAAGGAGCAGGGTTTGGGGTTTCCGTGTGGGGTCTGAGGTGGATTTCCCAGGATGGGCACGGACCTCGCAGCCATCGGCCGTGGGACACCCTGGGAATGACGGGGCTCCCTCCCCAGCCGGGACGGGCCTGTGGCTATGATAGCGTAACCCCGCAGGACTCCCCGGCTGAGGCCAGAGCAGCCCGGCCTGGTTTCCCTCCCCGCGGCAGAGGCCAGAGCGTTGGGCCGCGGGGACCGGGCAGCTGGTGTCCATTCTGACATGCTGCCATCCCCGAGGCCAGGCTGAGGCCACCACAGGAAAGGAGGTGACATGGTGGCATCTGTGTGACCGATTTCGCAAGCTCGGACAGGGGCCCAGGTCCATGTGGGGAAGGCCGGGGGTGAGGTGTGAGGGTCAGCAAGGACGCAGGCCAGTGACCGGCCGTGAACCAGCAGCCCCAGGGGCCTGCGCTGCGCAGCCAGGGTTGGGAGCTCAGCTTGGGACTGTCAGCGGGGGATCTGCCTGGTGGGCATGGGCCAGGGTTGCCTCGGCCCAGGAAGGCCCTGGGGGCTGCAGGTGCCATCTGGCCCCCAGGCCCACCCCCTCCTCCCAGGCTCTGCTCGGCGGCTCGCAGGGCTTCGGCCCCCTTTCTGCCGTGGACTCACCGTGTGTCGCCCAAATCCTCTTGGTGTCTGAGTGTCCTCCCCGACCTGGCGGGCAGCTGTCGTCCAAGTGGTCCCTGCCGGGCTGCCCAGCTTACGCCTGACTCGCGCACTCCCTCCAGCCGGGTGGGTCGCGCAGCCTCTGCCACGGCCACTGTCCGTGCCGGGCTGAGTCTCCGCTCGGCGGGTGGCTGGACAAGCAGGCGTGCCGAGGCTCCTCAGTGGCCATGTGTGTCTCGAAAACCTCTCGCAAACTGCACCGAAAGGAGCTCCTTTGTTCTCCGTGAATTTTTAACTTGCTCTAGAGCATATGCGCTCACAGAGACTGAGAGGGGAGTAGGAACCACCCCGAGGGGCGGCCACACCACAGTCCCTTCTCCCCGTCCTCCTCTTGGCCTGCCTAGCACGCACACGCTCCCAGCGTGTTGTTCAGGCCTCTGGGTCTGGGACTCGAGCCGCAGCCGTCCACGTGCATCACGCCGTCTCACCGGCTCTGGGTTTACTTCATTTTGTTTTATATTTTAGGTTTTTGCCACAGGGCGGTGCTCTTGCCAGAGAGAGACAGAGAGAGGGAGAGCAAGAAGTTGCCCCGGGGGGTGGCCACGTGTAATCCCTTCTCCATCCCTGTGGGATGTGGGGCACCCACGTGCACTGGCACGGCTTCTAAGCCACCGGGTCCGGACCTTGCGCTGCCATCAGCCGGTGCTGCCCAGCACGCTGCAGGACTCCACAGCAGCCACCACACGTGTTGGTGGGGCACAGTCCGTCCTGTGGCTGGCCCTCCCGGCCCCCGACTCCTCCACTCAGCGCCTGCCCTTCACGGCAGAGGAGGCCAGGTCAGTGGGTTGTGCGTTCTCCAAGTGGCCGTGGGGGCCTGGGATTCCGGGACGGCCACCCCTGCAAACCCCAAGTGCGCTACCATGGCGCAGCCCCACCAAGAGGGGACCCTCAGTGCAGCCTGTTCCCAACGGCCAAGCTCCTGGTCAGCCCCAGGGCCCCGGTCACGGGTGGGCAGGTCATACGCAGCTGTGTGGCCCGACAGCTGGCACAACCCCGCCAGCATGGCGGCGGGCGGGGCGCTCCGGCCCAGGCATCAGGGCAGGAAGCAAAGTGAAGAGGCGGCGGGGCCGTGCTCTCCGCGTTGGCCAGAGCAGGGGCTGGGCGGCTTCCCGAAACCTGAAGGGAAAATGAAAACAGACGCTGAGGCAAATGCACAGGGCCAGCCACGTGGGGCTGTGGTCAAGGCCGTGCATCAGGAGCCAGTCCCACAAGGCTGACATGGTTTGAGTCCCGGCCTCGGCGGCTTACCAAACACAGGGTCAGCCTGTCTCTCTCTCCCTCTGTGTGTGTGTGCCCTAGATCCAGACAGGATGGGGAACAGGAGGAGAGGGGATCACAGCGTGACCATGCCCCATCGGGGCTGTGCCCGCTCCCGCTCCCGCTCCCTCTGCCCTTTTCTTGGTGAGAGCACACACGCTCTGAAAAGAAACAAGGAGCGGAGCTGCTCAGGTGGAATGGTGGTTAAGGCAGCTGGATCCCACATGGCCAATTGGCATTCAAGGCCCAGCCCTGGTGCTTTGAAACGTGCCCGGTGCGTACGGGTGCCCGTGGAGGAGGAGGACAACGCGAGCACGCATTTTGACAGCGCTCCGCCCCTCTTGGTACCCGCCTCTGTCTCTGGCAACCACGAAGATAGACAGACAGCAGCGGCTGGGGGGCCCCTGGGTGTGCGCGCTCCTGCCTGGCTGTGCTGCCTCACGGGCCTGCTGCCGTGGGCCAGAGTGAACAGAGACCTTGGGCACGTTCCCGCTGGGCACTTTGCCGGACCCCAGGAATGAAGGCGACTTCCTGCAGGACACCGCCCTGGCGCCTGGCAGAGTGGTGAGGGCTCCCAATGTCCCTCCGTGCCCTCCGCGTGCACGCTGGCCACGGTCCCCAGAACGTCTCTCCCGTGGTTCGTTTGGCCAGGCCCTGGGGCCAGCGCAGCACGGTTGAGAGCTGGACTCGACGTGGCTGGCCGTGCAGTTCTGGTGTGGACCTGGGCCGGCGTGTGTGCGTGTGTGCCCGAGGCACCGTGAGAAGAGGAGGTGGAGGGACCGCGGCGTGGCCACGTCCTCTCTCTGGCGGTCACAAGCCTTATGGCAGATTGAAGGAAAACGAAGACCCAGCCCAGGGCCTGTATCACCTCTCTCTTTCTCTTTGAGTCTTTTTTTGGTTTGTTTTTGTTTTAATTTTAATTTCCAGAGGATGCATGTGCGTTCCAGAGAGATAGAGAGGGGGAGGGGGAGAAATAGCCCCTGGTGAGGTGAGGTCGCACCGCCATCCCTTCTCCTCCATTTCTCCATCCTGTCGGACACTCCACACCCACACGTGGACACGCCCGCACACAAGACAGAAGAAGCCCCATGCAGGGTCTGAGATGCCTCCCGGCCTCTGCACCAGGCCAGCGGGGCACCAGCAGGCCACGCGGCCCCCGCCTCGCAGGC